CAATCACCTCTACGCTCGTGATCCAAATGTCACACTCCACATCTTCGGTACATACCATCAATATATACTTGGGAATTACCAAAAGACACACAACACATTTACTACTGATGCATCACAATCTACTATATATGCAAACACATTATGCTAAGTAATTATATTGCTCTTAAATTCATACAAATGCACATATCAAAGATATTGAAATGCAAGATATAACCATGCAACATAATTAAACAATCACACAGATGCAGAAAAGATTACACACGGATGCACATGCAATAACTAGTTTTACTCTCAATAAACCTCCCTAGGGTCATCACTCAACCCACAAGCAATATTTGCCTCACTTCTCATCTTGCTATCCCTCTTTTGTAACACCGCTTACCAGCGGGCTTGTCCAAGCGTTGCCCTTCATTTTGCCACTCTTATCACTCGAGTCATTACTGTCTTGAGCTCTACCTAAATTTATTTGCTTAAATTTCATTCTATTACTCATCATATATATTTCATCACTCTTCTTATCATCCTTTTTAGCGTTAATCTTCACCTCTTTACTTCTAAGAGAATCAATAATAATCTCGGGAGTTATGGTATTCCTACCATATCTAATTGCATTCTTAACCTACCTATATGAGTCAAGCATAGAATTCAGCAAAATAATGACCATATATGTTTCAGACACATTTTTATCACAATTAATAATGTCTTGAACAAACCTCTTAAAAATATCTAAATTTTCATCAAGATTCTTTAAAGAATCCATTTTAAAAACAAAAAAAATAAAATTCAAGCAGGTACAATTTTTTAGAAGTAGATTTTAAAATAATATAGATAAGTGTAAAATGATTAAAGGTGTAAGCAAGCTTATCATATTCTTCTCATTGTACTTTTGTAAAATTTATTAAAAATCTGACATCTATGACTTTTGAAACTTTTATTAAACCAAAATTCCATTTATCTTTGTTGCCAAACTGAAAAATCTCGTTCTCCATTTACAATTCAAATATCGAAATATGAAGACATTTTGAAAGTATAGAACAACCAAAGTGCACAAATAGATACTAGGGCCGCAATGTATATCGTTCTAGATTTTCAGGGTTTTGTGGTGTTCGAGACTTCAAATGGGTCAAATCTAAGTGTTCTAACATAATAGTCAATGCAACACGAAGGTATGTCTATAGAAATTCAGTTTCTTACGCAATGCAGTCTCACACAATGATTTAATGGCAATTAAATGCAAAAGTAATTATAGACTTGCAATTAAATTCAACACTTCATATAGGGCAATAATTCCTAAATTTCTAACATTTTTAATGGTTATCCCACATGGAACCTCAATCCTATATATCACCCCACACAATGACTCTCTAATGCTGAAATTTAAACACGATAAGACAATATACTAGAATAAATCAATTTGAGTCCATAAATAATGAGAGATGCAAATTTACCATTTTAGGATCACCACTGTTTGCCCTAAAGTCTTCAGCAACCACTACAACATGAACACCAATGCTTGAAACTCCAACGTCCAAGGGTAAAACTATTCAGAACCACGATTTTGTCTAAAACAGAAATCGAACACCACCGCAATGTCCACCACGCCTCTAGGAGCAAACTATCTTCAAGCTTCATCATCGGAAAGCCAACGACGCGCTTTCATGCGTCGATAAGGTTCTCTACTTGTGGGATCACTCGTCATCATCTGTAGTGGCACGTGGCGCACGTGAACAGTATCGTCGGCTCCGCCTCAACCTGCAGAGATTGGATATGATCTTGGTTTTCTCAGTCTTTGGATTGAACAAAAAATGCACAAATAGATTTGATTTTCATAGTTTTTTTCAATCGACTTTCTACTTCGATTTTGCTGAATTTTTGGTCGATTTTTTTGTCAAATCCACCATCTAGAAACTCTAATATCAATTGTCATGGAAGCTTGCTCGAAGATCTTCGAAACAATGATTTCTGGGCACAGTTTCTCGCTACCTTCTCTATCAAATAACCAATTCAAATGGTTCCGATCCACAACCAATATATTTACATCGATTGCTTCTCAGTCTCACTCACAAATGATAAGATAAGGTGTTGATTTGCAAATCACAAAGGCACAAAAAAATAATAAGGCACAAAGTAGAAGAGAGTAAAGAAGAAATAATCAATTTTTGGAACACAAATCAATGTCACGATTTTTCTTTCTCGGAGGGCAGCCACGTTTTTATTCCAATTCATAGACAAATTACATACACAAACGGCTAGGTCAAAGCAACATATATATAATAATAGGTTATATATATCGCTCCATAAAAACAGTCCACGTTGTTTTTTTAAGTCGAGTCTTTAGACTTGGTTGTTAGTAATCAATTCACTATTGACTTGGCCCGTGAAAATATATTCCGACGTTTACATCATTGTCCGGGATTGATTGGTTATCAAAACCAATAGATAATTAATAATTGAACACAATATATGAATAATATTTATTGATTGTTCTCATATGTCCCAAGAACTGCACAAACACAAAAATAATCGTGCAAGAAAAGTAAAAATACAAGAAAAATTTTCACCCCCAAAGAGTTCGAATATTCATGTATTCTAATTAATACTCATCCATTGAGCATCCACTGTATGAATATAACTTGAGCATTGAATCCAAGAACAATCTCAACAACAATAATAATAATAATAATAATAATAATAATAATAATAATAATAATAATAATAATAATAATAATAATAATAAATCCGAGAAATCTCTCTACTCTACATCAATCAAATTCTAAAACTGCCGAATCTAGAACTCTTCTTTCACTAAGGGTGTGTTTAATTACATTTATTTTCTATGGAAAATATCAGTTTTCCATCCAAATTTTCACTTTGAGTGTTTGATTGCTACTTTTTTCCAGGGAAAACATTTTCCAACTTTTGAAAATATGCCTGATTTTCCTTGTTTTTAAGGAAAATATTTTCCTTGGGTAGAGGTGATTTTTATTTTCCACAAAAGATGAAAAATATTTTCTTTTCTAGGTAATATTTTCCATGTCAATCAAACACACCCTAAGATTACATCAAGAAAATCACTCAGCTTATCTTGTAACTGAACCAAAAAGAGAAGAAGAAGAAGAAAAAGAAAGGGGTGAGAAATGATTGCTCACGGACACTGTTATCCTAGCGAGAAGAGTGGCTTTTGAAAAACTCAAGATAAAACTCTTCGTCCACCAATTGTAAGCATGCCATGTAAAAAAAAAATAATAATAATAATAAAAAAAAATAACCAATAATACTCAAACTCTTGAGGCAGAAAATTCTCAACATAATCCACCTGGGTGAAGACATGACCTTATTCTAGTGCTCAAACATTATTACTTCCAGTTTCCTTTTCATAAAAACAAATGAGTTTATTATCTAAAATCGAACATGAAGACTGATTGTTCATTAATAATTTTATAGATTGCCAAATAAACTTATTTAATGGAAGAACTCTAATACCAGATTAGAAGGATTGAGTTGAGTTGGTATTTTGACTTAAGTTTACCATATTTTTCTCAATAAGCGCTCTAACAAAATGAAATTTACTATCCGCATGTTTAATTCTATCCTAATAAATTGGATTCATTCTCAATTGAGTTGCAGTTTTCTATCAGCATACAACCTGATTACTTCATCAAGGAAACCAAATTTACTTAGTAAACCAAATCCCCCTTTTACAGCATCACAACTGCTATATATTGCCTTTGTAGAATATAGGACTACAATCTTTAGTCGTAATTTTCAACTAATATACCAATTACCAAGTGTAAATATGTAGGAGGAAGTAAACCTCCATTTTTCCAAACCACCTGCAAAGTCAGATTCTGTATATCCCTTAAAAGTTAACCGTCATTACTCTTTCTAATCTTTAAACACGTTTATGAGCAACCATTTCATAGCAACCCAGTGTTTTAAATCTAACCAATCTAATTCAAAATCAAACTGTGTAGTCGACGAAGCCAGTTTCACTACCCGATTTTTGTGACGGACCAATTCCATCTGTGAAAGTCTTCGGCTATAGAAATTATGGCATCAGCTACGGAATTTTCTGTCTCTCGAGCTGAATTTTTTGTAGTGTACTTGTTAGAAAATCTCCTTCTAGTCTATCTACTCTTTTGCTACAAGTTTTATTTTTCATTATGGAGGCCATCATCATTTCATCTTGCATTGCAGCAAGCCAAAGTTTTCCTTCTTTCCAACTCTCAACTTCTTTATAGGTACCTGGTCATGTACCTACAAAGTCTTGAGTTGGGAACAATGTCACGAGGTGATCACTACTTATTCTAGATGATGGAAATCTCCACCTCATAAGTCATACCTCTCTATCTTATTAGCTGGTAATCAGCTAATGTTTGAGGATCAGTTTGATCTTGAACCTTTTCAATATCATATTGCGTCTGTTCTACTTCAGTTTGAATTAGCTCTACCTGATACCAATGTTGAGTAGTAAACTTGATTTTTGAACTAAATAATATGGGCTTAATGACTTTTCCCATAGGCCTCAACTCAATTAAAAAGCTCAACATGTCTAGCATCTCTAAAAACATTATCTAAAAAAATCTATATAAATATCTACTAGAAAAATCCATGTAAATATCGAAGTAAAATATGTGGTGATAAATGTGGTAATGTGTCAAGAAGAATATGTGGTCTTATAAAGCATATCTATAGTATTCTAGGAAAATATCTAGTCCAATGAGTAGTCTAAAAGCCTTTTGTAAATATGTGGTTTAGGATTCTCTAAAAAAATGTGTGGATTAGAAGTTTCATGTAAACACTATATAAAAGGGTAGTATCCTCAATTTGTAAGAAGCCAAAAAGTGTGTAAAGTCTTGAAGTTGAGAAATACATGTTTCCTTTTTTTACTTCCTTCTTCCTATTAGTGTTGTCCTCTTAAAAACCTTAGCCAATCCAAGTTGATAAACACCTCTTTCCTCCAACAAACTAGTATCAGAACTCTAAGGTTCTTGAGAAAAATGGCAAGTGGGATGATTCCTTTTCAAGCCCCCCCCCAACTCAACAAGGATAACTATAACAATTGGAGCATAAGAATGAAAATGTTGCTCAGGTCACAAGATGCATGGGAGATCGTAGAGAAAGGCTACACGGAGCCACAAGACGAGGTCGCTCTATCCCAAGCACAAAGGGATAGTTTGAAGGATGCAAGGAAAAAGGATAACAAGGCGCTTACCTAGCTTGTGCTACTACAAGTAAAGAAACATGGGAGATCTTGCAAAACTCCCATAAAGGAGTTAAGAAGGTGAAAAAAGTTCGACTCCAAATACTTCGAGGTGAGTTTAAAGCTTTACATATGAAAGAATCGGAATCAATTTCTGATTACTTCTCTAGAGTATTGGCTATTGTGAATCAATTAAAGAGGGAGTAATTGAGAAGATATTAGCTCTTTAGATTCTAAATTTGATTACATAGTTGTAGCCATTGAAGAATCTAAAGATCTAGATAGTATGAGTGTCGATCAACTCATGGGATCGTTATAAACCCATGAGGAAAGATTAAAGAAGAATGTGAAAGAAGAGTCATTAGAGCTAGCTTTTCAAATAAAGCTCACTTTGAACGAGGGTGAAGGAAGGTTCGGCAGTAGAGGAAGCTAAAGAGGAAAAGGACGAGACCAAGATCGAGGAAGAACTGCATTCTACAAGGAGAAAAGAAGATAAAGCTCATTTTCCACCAGATGTCGTGGAAGAGGAAAAGGTACAAGGTAAAATGAAGGGCCAAGGTATGACAAATCTCAAATTAAATGTTACAATTGTCAAAACCTTGGTCATTATGCTTTAGAATGTAGAAATATTACTAACCAAGTTGAAGAGAAAGCCAACTATGCTTGTCAGGAAAGTGAAGTGGATCCTGCACTACTGTTGGCTTACAAAGGTGAAGAGGGCAGAGAAAATAACACTTGGTATTTGGATACAAGAGCAAGCAACCATATGTGTGGAAGAAAAAATATGTTTGTGGAGCTTGATGAATTAGTAATCGAAAGCATTACCTTTGGAGATGAATCCAAGATCCCAGTTAAAGGAAAAGGTAAAATCTTGATTCGCTTGAAAAATTGTACGTATCAATTTATCTCAAATGTCTATTATGTGCCCAATATTAAGAATAACATTTTAAGTTTGGGACAACTCTTAGAGAATGGCTATGATATTCATTTGGAAGATCATAGTCTTTCAATAAAAGATCAAAGGGAAAATTTGATTGCCAAAGTCCCTATGACAAGAAATAGAATGCTTGCATTAAGCATTCAAAATGATGTTGCCAAATGCATAAAAGCTTGTTTTAAAGATTCATCTTGGTTTTGACACTTGAGATTTGGGCATCTTAATTTTGGAGGCTTAAAGTTGTTGAGTAAGAAGAAAATGGTGAAAGGTTTGCCTCCAATAAATCATGCGGATCAATTATGTGAAGGATGCTTACTTGAAAAGCATTCGAGGAAAAGTTTTTCAAAAGAAGCATCTACAAGAGCTAAGAATCCGTTAGAACTTGTACACTTGGATGTTTGTGGGCCAATCAATCCAAGCTCTCTCAGTAAGAGCAATTGCTTTCTTCTTTTTATTAATGATTTTAGTAGAAAGACTTGGGTCTATTTTCTCAAACCAAAATTGGAAGTTTTTGAAACTTTCTAAAGGTTTAAAGCTCTTGTTCAAAAAGAAAGTGGCTATAGCATAAAAGCCATGAGATCAGATAGAGGAGGAGAATTCACCTCTAAAGAGTTTGAGAAGTATTGTGAGGAGAATGGAATTCATCGTCCATTGACAATTCCATACTCTCCACAACAAAATGAAGTAGCCAAAAGAAAGAATAGATTCATTCTTAACATGGCTCGCTGTCTGCTCAAAAGTAAGAGATTACCCAAAGAATCTTGGGCCGAACCTGTTAATTGCACCGTGTATTTGTCTAATGGATCGCCTTCTAGAAGTGTGTGGAATAAGACACCACAAGAAGCATGGAGTGGAAGAAGCCCAGCATCTCACTTACAAGTATTTGGGAGCATTGCATATGCTCATGTACCAGATCAAAAGCGGTCCAAGTTAGATGACAAAAGTGAAAGGTATGTCTTCATCGGCTATGACTCTCGCTTTAAAGGCTACAAGTTGTATAATCCAAGCAATAAGAAAATCACCATAATTAGAAATGTTGAGTTTGATGAAGAAGGAGCTTGGGACTGGGGTGCCCAAGAAGAAAACCATGACTTTTTACCATTCTTTGAAGAAGAAGAACATGAGCATGGAGAGCGGCAAGAGCTTATTAGTCCGCCTCTATCACCTACTTATGGAGTGCTTCTCTATCATCTTCACAAGGAGAAAGCTCAAGTGGAAGGACACCACGGATGAGGAGCCTACAAGAGCTATATAATGCAACAGATAATCAAAATGATTTCAAACTCTTTTGTCTTTTTGCCGATTGTGAACCAATAGGGTATGATGAAGCGGTGCAAAATAAAAGATGGAGAGATGCCATGGATGAAGAGATTAAGGCTATTAAGAAAAATGACACGTGGAAATTGACAGCCCTTCCCAAAGGAAAGAAAGCAATCGGAGTTAAGTGGGTGTACAAGGCAAAGAAGAACGCTAAAGGAGAAATAGAAAGATACAAAGCAAGATTGGTTACCAAAGGCTATAACCAACGGTTGGGAATCAATTATGAAGAGGTATTTGCTCCTGTTGCTCGTTTAGAAACCATAAAACTAATTATCTCTCTTGCAGCGCAAAATAAGTGGAAGATATTTCAAATGGACGTGAAATCAACTTTTCTAAATGGTTATCTCGAAGAAGAAATTTATGTTGAGCAATCAATGGGCTATAAAATAAAAAGACATGAAGGTAAAGTCTTAAAACTAAAAAATGCTTTATATGGGTTGAAATAGGCTCCAAGGGCATGTAATAGTAGAATTGACAAGTACTTTCTAGAAAATAATTTCATAAAATGCCCTCACGAGTATGCCCTTTATACAAAGGTAAATGAGAAAGGAGATATTTTGCTTATTTGTTTGTATGTAGATGATCTTATATTCACAGGAAATAATCAAAGTATGAACACTGAGTTTAAGAAGGCCATGGCTCAAGAATTCGAAATGACGGATATCGGTCTCATGGCCTACTATATTGGGATTGAGGTAAAGCATATGGAGAATTGCATCTTTATCTCACAAGCAGGATATGCAAAAGAAATTTAATATGGAGGATTGCAAGCCTGTATGCACCCTCATCGAATGCGGAACCAAGTTGTCGAAGAATGATGAAGGTGAAAAGGTAAACCCAACACTTTTTAAGAGTTCTGTTAAAAGTCTAAGATACTTGATGTGCACAAGATAAAATATCCTTTTTGGAGTTAGCCTCATCAGTCACTAAATGGAGACACCTGCCATGACCCATATGAAAACTGCAAAGAGAATTTTTCGCTACATCAAAGGTATGTTTGATTATGGCTTAGTCTATTCATCATCTAATGAATTCAAACTTGTTGGATATAGTGACAGGGATTGGGGCGGAGATAATGATGATAGAAAGAGTACGACTGAGTATATGTTTTACTTGGGCGACACAGCTTTCATTTGGAGTTCAAAGAAGTAATCGATCGTAGCACTATCTACATGAGAAGCTGAATATATTGCAGCTACATCAAGTTTCTGCCATGCGATTTGGTTTAGAAACTTATTGAAGACGCTTGGAATATCACAAGAAGAACCAACCGAAATCCATGTTGATAACAAATCAGCATTGACATTGGCAGAGAATCCAATATTCCACAATAGTAGCAAGCACATTGATACAAGATATCACTTCATAAGAGAAAATATTGCAAAGAAAGAAGTGTAGCTGAAATATGTAACCTCCCAGAAGCAGATCGCCGACATTCTCACCAAGACACTCAAGCATGACATGTTCCACAAGTTAAGAACTCTACTTGGAGTAGTAAAATCAAGTTTAAGGGGGGATTTTGAGTATTAAACTTGATTTTTGGACTAAATAATATTGGCTTAAGGATTTTTCCCATAGGCCCCAACTCAATTAAAAAGCCTAACATGTCTAACATTTCTAGAAACATTATCTAGAAAAATCTTTATAAATATCTACTAGAAAAATTCATGTAAATATCTAATTAAAATAGGGAAAATTGCAACTGAGGTACCAAACCTTTCGTTTATTAGCAGACTTTGCTCAAACATTTAGTTTGTGACATTCACAGTCCCAAACCTTTCAAAAATATGTACCGGGGGTCCAAATGGATGGAAACCGTCCGTTTGACTGTTAGTTGATCAATAAAAATGAATTTTAACCAATTTTTGACCAATTTAAAAGGGTATAAAGGTAAATTTACTATTTAATTCTATAATAAAACAGATAAACTAATATACAAAATAAAAATAAAAGAAACTACTATTCATCTTCTTCTTCCCCCCACGCTACCCCATAGCTGCTACAATTTTTCCAATAAAAAATGGTTTCTTCTTCACCCTACCCATCCCCAATTTACTCCCACAGCAATTTTGGGTAAAGATTATTCCAATACTTAGATCCATACCTCCCCGGAACACAATGAAGCAGATGATGTTTCAGCTATAGCGTTTACCAGCGAGTTCTTTAGCAGCAAAGTTGAAATCATTTCTTGCTCCTGGTTTACTCATCTTTTTACTGCAAAGTAAATTTTACACCTAAATCTAGCCACTGACATTAAAACACTCGTTTAAAGAGCTGTTCAATTATTTTGCCTGCTAAAATAATAGGCACTTTTTAATAAATAAATAAATAATTATGACATATATGCAGTGAATTCTCCATTAAATACTTGTCATCTATATTTATTAATTGAAGAAAATAAACGTCTAAAATCAATTCCTATTGAAGGTTACATTTTGAGTCCGTTTTCAGTATAAAAGGCACACCACATTCTTGCAAATAACGAAGAAAAACCAGTTGAAGTTTTTTTTGGAGTCTCCTAGGTTTTCAGAGGATACGGGGGAGTAGGTTGGGGATGGGTAAGGTGAAGAAGAAACCATTTTTTATTGGGAAAATTGCAACAGTCCTAGGGTATGGTGGGGTGAGGTGGGGGGAAGAAGAAGATGAATAGTAGTTTCTTTTATTTTTATTTTGTATATTAATTTATTTGTTTTATTATAGAATTAAATAGTAAATTTACCTTTGTATCCTTTTAAGTTGGTCAAAAATTGGTCAAAATTCAATTTTATTGGTCAACTAACGGTCAAACGGACGGTTTCCATCCATTTGGACCCTCGGGGCATATTTTTGAAAGGTTTGGGACTGTGGGTGGCACAAACTAAAGATTTGAGCAAAGTGTGCTAATAAACGAAAGGTTTGGTACTTCGACTGCAATTTTTCCATTAAAATATGTGGTACTAAATGTGATAATGTATCAAGGAGAATATGTGGTCTTATAAAGTCTATCTAGAGTATTCTAAGAAAATATCTTGTCCAATGAGTGGTCTAAAAGCCTTTTTGTAAATATGTGGTATTGGATTCTCTAGAAAAATGTGTGGACTAAAAGCTTCATGTAGGGGTAGTGTCTTCTATTTTGTAATAAGCCAAAAAGTGTGTAACGTCTTGAAGTTGAGAAATACAAGTTTTCTTTTTCTACTTCCTTCTTCATATTAGTGTTATCCTCTTAAAAGTTTTAGCCAATCCAAATTGGTAAACCCTTCTTTCCTCCAACATAACTAAATATGAGTTTCTTGACCAATTTCATCCAAATTCTTAAGTTTTAATTTCAATTTCTTTCCTTATCTTACTAACTCTAGGGTTTGAGGAGGACTATTTAGAGACAAGGCACGACAGTTTCACTAAAACCCACATTTCTGCTAACAATTACTTTAAATCCTTTTAGTTTTATAACCCACAGTTTATGCCTTTTGGTTTCCTGATTACCATATCACAGGAAAAATTATTTTAAGGATGTTGATTCTAATTTATCTTCACTCGGCACAATCAAAATTTCTAAGCCTAGAATAATCTGCAGATTTACCAATTAAACCTAATTCAAGTACTTCAAAGTTAAATAACATTAGATGGACACCTATTGATCAAATAATTTGTTGTTATTAAGGCCTCAAGCCAAAACAACTTGGGCAAGCTTGAACTTAAGTGCATGAACATCACATTATTCATTAAGGCCATCTCCAATGTATGACCTAAAACACCAAAATACACCATTTTTTGGTGTAAAACAACTCCAATGTAACACTATATTTTGCACCATTGCAAAGTGTACAAAATCGTATTTACCCTTTCTTTTCATTTCCCAAATAAATTGATTAAGGGTATTTGTGTCATTTGTGATATATATT